CCAGTCGGTGGAGGCTACGGTCTGGCCGTCGCTGGTGCCCCGCGACTCCAGGTGGTTCTCAAGGTGGAAGAGGGACCGGCCGAGCTCTGCATCACCAGGCGGTTTGGGGTGGTGGATGATCTGGAGCGCCGGCTCCAGTTCGCCATGGTGGCGTACGTTGCGGGTTCAAGGCGAGTTCTTTCGATGGATCGGGTGAAGGAGATGCTGGAGAGCACGTTGGACATCGCCCCAGAGCTAATCTCGGTGCACCGCCACTGCTCGGAGGATTTTCTCATGGTCTTTTCCTCGGCGGCGCTCAGGAACAGGGTCTCGGCCTGCCCCTCCATCGAGGACCGCGGGGATCGTCTGGTTTTCAGGCCCTGGAACAGACAGTCGCAGGCTGTGCATTCGATACCGGGGTTCAAGGTGTGGCTAGAGCTTGAGGGGATCCCGCCCCATGCTTGGGATCGTTTGGTGGTTGAGGATCTACTGGGCTCGTCGTGCAAGCTCGATGCCGTCGCATCGAGACAGCTTCCCGCACGGACCTGTCCTCGTTCAAGGTCATGGCGTGGATGGCAGACCCGCAGTGCATCCCTACGCTGCGCTGGTTGGCGGTTCCGGAGCCGGGCGAGGAGCGGCCTCCGACATTGCTTCAGTACAAGGTGCTCATACACCTGGATGCGGTGATGGATCTGAGGGACGGCGGCGAGCCGTGGTTCTTCGAGGGCTCATCGGACAGCGGGCAAAGCGGCATGCCAGATCAGGACGGAGGCTTCCCTGGGTCATGTGCACAGATGCGTAGGTTGCAATAGCAGTTCGGAGTCAGGGCAGGCGGGACGGCGGCTTTGCCGCCGGCGGCGGCGGAGGCGGTCGTCCCCACGGAGCTGGGGTGGGCCAGGTCAGTCAGTCGCCTGGCTGGCGCCTGCCCCCGATGGATACAGCTGTCGAGGTCAGGCCAGTGGCCCCACGGACGATAGTTATGGACAGGATTACGCGTCGCCAATCGGCTTTTGACCGGCTGACCACGCAGGCGGGGCCCGTAGAACGTTCGAGTGGAAGCCGAGGGGATGTTTCAAATCAGGTGGGCGAGAGTGTTGAAAGGACAGTGGTTGGTGACCGGACAAGAGAAGAGCATGGGGCACCCTCCTCGAGACCCAATCTGCTGCGAGAGCGGGATATGGTGGAGGCGACCCAAGATCCCGAGGCGGGCAGGACCCCACAAAATTCGCCGCAGCTCCCAAAGGCTGCCGACCCACCAGTGGGAACCGAGCTTGCGGATTAGGGCCAGGTGCTGGAGGCCTTGCGGACTGTGCCCCTGGCGGGTG